CTGCTCTTGCATTGTCGATCATATGATGAGTATTTCGATATTTTGATTATACGTAATGATAAATAAGGTTATGGCTTTCAGGGCTGCGTTATGCGGAATGGTTCAACAAAATACTAAGTATTCCTATCTGTAGGCCTAGAACTGTTTTTAAATATCTTTCTGTTTATACTTAGCTGAGGATGAAACCAGACATCATAGCTTTTCATAACATTTTTAAATTTAATTTTATACAATTGAGTTCGTTGAAAATCATAAAAAGGCTGCAGTAAAGCGTCATTGGTAACAAAATTATTGGTCTGATACTGGATTGTAATCTGTCCCGTCTCAAAATTCAAAAGATTTGATTGGTTGATTATAAATACTAATAGACATATATTATCCTAAATTGTATTCACATGAATCAAACAACCAAACGTAGGAAAAATGGATAAACATTTGATCAAAAACGACAAATTGCTTGACACTACTACGACTGACAATGGTATCAAAACCACAACGGGCAACACAACGGATGCAGTACCAAGATGCTCTGAAAAGACAGGAGTACCAGGTGACATTGGAAAAGAAGACCTTCCAAAGCAACCGAGAATAAAATTTCCAGCGAAGTCTGGTCGCCATTTTAGTAACTGCTGGTATGATCGATTTCCATGGCTGGTGTTTCACAATACATCTGCGGGTGAATAAAAATTCATCACTGAAGGCTACACAGATTGGAAGCATGCTGTAGGTGATACTGGAAAGGGTCTCGACAAGCATAACAATTGAGGTGTCAAAACAATTTCTCCAAGATAACGTTGCCAAGACAGAAAATCAGGACTCCAATCTTGTTCTTCAAAAACTATACGAGCAGAAATTGGCTTTCCCTACATTATATGCACTGGCTGCAAGCGTTGCCACATTCGGTTCTAGTACCGCTGTGTGTGAAAGCAGCTTTTCAACTTTTACTCGCGTTGACTCACCACAACGACGATCTATGACTCAGCTTCGCCAGCGCAATCTTGTTCTTCTTGCCTTCAACGGGAAGCGTACCCAGAAAATTAACTTGGACGTATTTGTTCAACGTTTTGCCATAAAAGATACTCGACTACGTTTAAACTAAAACGGCAATAAAAATGTAACGTATAATAACTTGTGTGTTTTAACAAAAATAATCTCGAATCTAAAATACTCCATGGAAGTCCGTTTCCCGACGTTTAATCGTCTGTTAAGGTGCTTTGCTAAATTGCCCCCCTCGATTGCACGATTGCCTCCCCAGGAATACTGGTCAGGCTACGGGCCTGCCTTTGACCTGGATTACCTCAAAGAATTGGAACTTATAGATAGTGCCGATTCACACTAATGGGCTTTCGCCAATTTCTAGATGATATCAATGAATTTGTACACATTTTGTAGTTAAATTCTCAATTTTTAACGTTTTTTGCGTTATTTGACCTTTTGTGACCTTTGACCTTGAATAACTCAAAAACGCCCCCTGACCTGGCACTTTACCTCCCAGATTCGGATTCCTGAGGAAAAATGCCTGTAGAAAAGTTAACTCAGATTTTGCCTCCTCTCGGGTGACAATACCCCCCTTCTCCCTCTGGTCTATGACATGGGTCTTAACAATTGGCCTTGCTTGCGACTCTTAAAGGCAGAAGTGACTACTTCTCTTAACTTCCAGTTTCATAGATGGATCTGCGCCCTTAACTATAGCCTTTTTTCAGAAATGAGATTTTTTTAGCTATATTATGAGTTAAATAGTGTTCACAGCTCACCATAGAAATTTGAGTCTTCAAATGCATGTGTGATTGTGTGTCCAGAATTATACACGTTTGGAAGTAAAAAATGCCGACTCTTGAGATTCCGCTATAGAAAAAAAAAGATATTATAGAATTAGAGAGTTACATTCTCAGTTTGGGGTATATTTGAAGGGGGTATATTTAAAGGAAATGTTTCCAAACGGTTCCGTTTTGGTAAGTGAATGCTTTCTGCAGAATCATGTGATCCGCTTTAAAGGGACAGATGCGCCTTTTTTTTTCTACCAATCGTACCTTCGTCTCAGAAATTTTAGCTAATCCAATCAGTAATAATGTTCTAGCAGCTCACCGTCTAATTTTGAGCCTTCAAATCAATGTGAGTCCAGAATTATACGAGTTTGAAAGTTAAAATGACTACTCGTTTAAGATCATCTGTGATATATAGAAACGACGTAAAAATAGTGAGTAAAATTCATAGTTTGCAGTATTTTTGAAGGAATTATGCAACTAGTTGAAAAATTGCAATTTCGACTATTTGAAACAAATGTGACTGACTTTTTCAACTGCTAAGCAAATACCTCAATGTTATAATTTTTTGGTGAGGCATCCTTGCAGAAACGTGTTGCGTGTACAAGGTGCAGATTTTGGCGGCCTTGGCCTACTTTAAAGGATATTCCGTTTATTTGTACGTGGAATTTTTTTTGCTCAAATTTGTGTAAATATTTTATCAGCATCCCTTAACGTGGCCCCTAACGTCCCTGAAAGTTTTAATCCAGCCGTTAAGGCTCCCGCACACGAAGAGAATTTGGCGCACGCCAATGGCGTGCACCTTCTGCTCAACTATATCTAACGTCAGCCTATGACATGCTCAATCAAAATGGCGAACTACTACAGTGATATTCACGCTTGTCATTGTGTTTGCATTCAGGCGATCGGATATCATAAAGGCAGGGGTAACCTTGCCATAATTCAACAAAATTATCCTCAAAGATTGTTTCTGTCACTTCTTCACTGGGCGGCGCCATCTTTGAATACCAGTAACGCGTGGGCGCTGTGTTCGTCGTTTGAGAGAGTCGCGCACGATTGCCCGCACACGGTGTGCCATCGGCCACGCGCACACGGTGTGCCATCGGCCTCGAGTGGTCAAAAATATCAAACACGATAGATATTTTCCACACGACCATGAGTGGCCACAAGCACACTAAAAATTACCCGCACACGAAGCGCTACTAGCCGAGCGTAATTGGCGCTGCGCCATTTTCTGTCCGTGTGCGGGCGCCTTTAAGTTTTTAACACCAAAACTATTTAAAAATTTTACTAAACTTTTTGTGTTCGTAATGTTTTTTGATTTGGGATTTGATACGGATTTAAGCAAAATAAATCCCTGATTGTGGAGAAAAAAGGTTTCTTTTTACTAATAATATTGAGCCATATATTAAGCCCAAAACCAAAACTAGGCATACTCCAAACTAGTAGCCTAGTTTTTTTTAAAAACAATTTCAGTTTTTAATTTTCACCCGGGTGCAATTCAAGTTTTCAATTCAAAATTATGGAATTTTCACCTGGGTGAATATTACTAAAATTAATAAAAAAAAATAAATGATACGAATCACTGTACGAACCACCGTAGAGACGACCTGAATGGAAATTTCTTGAATCAAACAGCTTCGTGCGCGTGCGTATGATAACAAGACGCAAGTTCGAGCATGCGCTTGTCTTAGTAAATTTAGAATTTTTCGCCATTTTGACAAACCACGTTCTCAAATTCAACGAAAATGTCTAGGTACTCTCGACCACCAAATACATCATTGTACATTAGAAATGTACCAGACAACTCAAGGTTTGTATTTGGCCATTTCGCAAACGATAACGCCAGAAACTTGACAAAAAACGCGACAAACTAGGCTACGCTCCTAAAATGTGTTTTCCTCTTTCTTTGACTTTGGTTGTTTGTATCAATTCTATTTGTTTTCTTGTTACTTTGTTTTGTTGATTTAGTTTGATAAGACGTTAATACAGTCAACAGAAATTTATTTTTTTTTTATGAATGATGAATACAGATTGCTTCATCCTTACATTGTTTGTGGCTAGTATGCGTAAATTAAATTAGAGAAAATATGAATATAAAACAATTGGATTTGTGCAGCATTAGGCAATTAGCTTAGCTCAAGTGTACTGCCTATTGAGGCGCTGGGTTAGGTCAATCAGTGTAGTTAAGAGAAAATACACAGTGATACATTTGAACACACATGGGCAACAACTCAGATCCTATATGAATCATACAAGCTTATAAAGTTACATTCAGTAAAGCTAGTAAGTAGCGGCCTATGGATAAAAATTAACTACGCACAGCCTTATAGCTATGATATGATTTGCAAATCAATGCATTCTGTATCAAGATAAATAGATTCACTAATATCAATGTGCAACTGCAAGCATTTATTTATTTTGGTAAGGTTTTGACCAGGAATAGGCCAACCTTGTACTGGGTATATTGGAGGTTAACAAGCATCTTCTTTTCAGAGTTATGTTTCAGGTAGCTGAAAGGAGAATTGCTATATATTGACTTCAGATCCTTAAGCCTAATTGTTTTTTTTGTTTTTGTTTATGCCCTATGTGTGTTTCCATTTATAGATCTGAAGAATTAAGAAGTATGTTTGGAAAGTATGGACCCATCACTGATGTTTATATTCCAACTGATTATTATACACGTAGAGTGAGAGGATTCGCTTATGTTCAATATCCTTATCTTTTCTCAACATTGCAAATTATCCCTTAAATTTATTTCTTTTAGAAATGTACAGACAGTAAAGGTCAAGGCATTGTCAAAGTTTCCTTTCTGTTGGCATGGGTCTAAAAGAGTAAAAGTTGCAAGTCAAGTTTTAAAGTAAAGATCAAGTTTAAAAGTAAAGCTCAATCTCAAGGTGACTGTTAACAGAACAGATCCAAGGGGTTTTATACAGTACAAGAAACAAGTTGATTGAAATTCAAGGTTTTTAAAGATCAAGAGTTGACAGTGTTATCACCAAGATCAAGAATGTTTAGAATTGGCAGAATATTGGTCTTTAATTCAAAGAGTTGGTCCTCAAGGATTTCACATACAAAAGATACCAAGGCAAAAACAGAAACACAGTTCAACATTTTATTGTTTTCAATCATTTTCAAGTTTGGTGAGGAATAGCACAGCTTGTTATGAGTAATATAGTATGATTCAATATGCCTATTTGATATCCCTTTAATTTATATTCTTTCAAACCCAGCAATGTCAAGTCAAATGACATGAACAGATCATGGAATATTTGCAGTTGCAATATTTGAAGTTTAAATAAACCATGAAACGATTAAAAAAAAAAACAAACCCAAAACTGTCCCATAAGCTTACTCTTATTTCCGTCATTTACAAATTAGGATAATTTATTTAAGTCTAGAAATAATTTGTTAAGGTTTACTTTAATTTACATAGATTTGTAAGTAAATAGGTAAATTTTGTTGCTATGTTTGAATGAAAGGTTGATTTCCTTAACCTAAGATACATTTGAAGATCCACGAGATGCTGATGATGCTTTATATCACTTAGATAGGACCAAATTCAATGGCAGAGAATTAGAAATAGAATTTGCAAGAGGTGATCGTAAAAGTATGTATTTGTTTCCACATGACATCTTTACAACTTTAAGCCTAGAAAGCTTAATGCATTCAAAAAAAAAGAAATAGAATCACTCAAGAAAAATTGTCCACATGCAGTGTGATCTTATGCTAGAAATAATTATATGGAAAGCTGAAAAAATCAATTAAGTTGATAAGCTGAAACAGTTCAGTTGGCAATGTTTTTACTTATAATCTTATAGATAAATTATTTGTTCAACATTTAAGTTCATTGATTTTAGGTCCAAATCAAATGAAAGGAAAAGATAGGAGGAGAAGTTATAATAGGTATGATGATTATGATGACAGAAGACGACGAAGGAGGAGCCCAAGGTATGCTTACCTTATAGACACTGATATAAGCTACTAAATAAGTTATTGCTCTCTCTGCCCCTACTATTGAAATAATAGCAAGGTTTCACTGGAAGGCATAGATAAACTGAAAACCTCTTCTTGTTGGTAGATCATCTGCTATCAGCGATGTTCGGTTTTTTTTTTTTCAAACAACTCAAAGCATCATTCAAAGTTGTTAAACTAGATTTAAAAAATGTTTCTGGTTTTTTAATTGTTTGCATTTGTTTATATCAGGTTAAATATTCTAATTGTCTTTTGTAGACGATCCAGAAGTAGAAGTCCGAGGAGAGATAGAGACAGGTAAGCTTATTGTTTTTATTCTCTAGCAGTATTTTGTGAATCAGAATTTGATGGGATATGTTGATTAGTAAATATGTGTGCTAAATTTGTCTTCAAATATAAAATGTACTATCAGATATCTATTTTGTAGACGCTCCAGATCAAGGTCAAGAGGTCGATCTCGATCCAATGAAAGAGGTCGTTCCAATGAAAGAGCGCGTTCTACTGAAAGAGCACGTTCCAATGATAGAGGCAGATCAAATGAGCGCAGACGTTCCCCTGAAAAAAGGTAATGTTCTTAATTTGTTTATTTTTATACGCCCACATCTCTCTATGTGGACGTATATTGTCGGCATCCCTGTCCGTCCGTCAACATTTGCTTGTAAACGCTCTACAAACTAGACTTTTGATGGAATCAAATGAAATTCAGTATGTGTATACATATTCATAAAACGAAGATTTATGAGCTATTTTCGATCGTTAGAAGCCCTTGCCCCAAAATCTTGAATATTTACCATCCGTATGCCGTGGTGGGCTTATATGGCTGTGGTCCACTATCTTAGTTTATGTGATCAAATAACTGTAGGGGCAGAATTAATAATTCTGTTTATAAGACATATAGAAATAGATGCAGCCCTTGATGTAGAAAGTAATGCTTTATAGATTACTTTGATAGATTGAGCAATATTTGGTAGTAATAACCATTGAATATGTATTTTAATTGTTTTACTTTCAGAAGATCCTACAGTCGTTCAGCCTCCAGATCACCAGTTGCCCGACGCTCCAGAAGTTACTCCAAGAGTCGTTCACCAGAATAGATGAATTCTCAGTTATTTGTGTTTATAGTTAAATATTTAATACTGTGTTTATTGTAGTATTATAACCTTTCTACCACGTCTCAAAGTAATTGAGTTATAAAGTCTCTCTTCAGCTGAGAAAAGAAAAGATTTCTTACATGCTGGCTATGTGATAAATCTTAGATTATTAGGTCTGACTTGTAACATAAGATGTAAAGTTATGTTACCTATGGGTATTTTTCAACTATAACTAGAAGACAGAAAACAGTGCTTTTTATACCTTGTCATTTACCATCACTCCTTATGGAAGATTCTCAAATATATTGCCTTTCTCTCAAGGAAGAGGAGTTACTGAAACATCAGAATTATATTTTCATTGTCATTTGTATATTTTAATTGAAATGTAAATAATCATTATTTTAATAAACATTTTCAATCAAGAAATCATTTCCAATTGAAAGTATTGAAAAGGGTAACCATTCTTGCCTTGTACTATCGTAAAATTCATCATTGAATAATCCTTGATCTATTTGGCCATCAGAAAGATGTTGATAAAAAAACAAATTCAGATGCATTGAAATTAAGATTTAAAGTTGTGAGTGTACACCTTTTTACATATTTTGAATTATATGTCTGACAGAGATGAAACTGAAGTTTTTTGTGTCAAATTTAGGACCATTTTCAAAACAGTTACAAGCCACCAAAAACGATTGCAATATTAACAAAGCTCAATTCCTGGTCCATAAATGTGGACTTATATTGCCTTTATCTTAACTTGAAACTCGTGTGTATGTATATTGATGAGATCTCGTGAAGTTAAAATTTGGTAATATTCAGATGAATGGTTTCAGATCTTGATGAAACTCTGCGTGTATCGATCGATGGGATCTGGGTCAAGTTTGATTTTGGCAATAATCAGATGAATGGTTTCAGAGTTACTGTCCTTGACTTCGTTGAATCGCCAAATTTGGCTTATAGTCAAGATAGAGACTAAAGATTTTAACCAATCTTGGTGAAACTTGGTATGTATATTGATGAGATCTTTGTCAGGTTCAAACATGGTTATGATTGGATGAATGGGTTGTGAGTTTTTGCCCTTAAATTAGTAAATATGGGCAAAATTAAGATTATAGGCAGGCTAAAGGCTACAGTTTTCATCCTGGGTCATATTGGTAATAATCGGGTGAATGGTTTCAGTAATTGCTCTCTGTGTATGTCAATGAGACATTGTTGAGGACAGTTGAATTATATGGTAATTTGATGAAGTTTTATCATTTCTGACAGCTGGTAGTGGCTGTAGGTTACCTTGCCTGGCAAGCTATCTCTTTTCTTCGGTTAAGACTTCTTCATAAACTGTTTCAATCTCGAGTCTTTATCAATTATGATCCCAAGCTCAATGTTGCCTGGCTGGTTCACAAGTTTTTATACGCCCACATCTCTCTCTGGACGTATATTGTTGGCACCCCTGTCCGTCAACATTTGCTTGTAAACGCTCTAAAAACGGGTATGTGTAGACATGTTCATAAAACAAGGATAAAGTTCGAATTTGAGCTATTTTCGACTGTTAAAAGCAGAGTTATTGCCCTTGTCCCAAAATCTTGCATATTTACCATCCACATGCAGTGGTGGCTGTGGTCCACTATCTTTCTTTTGGAAGTCATCGGTTTGTATAATTTTGGGCAAAGACAAAATACATGCATTGAACTTCTAATGAAAAGAGGTCATGAGCTCTTATTTGTGCCCCAAATGTAAAAAAAAGTTGACTGATTCAGATGGTGAAAAAAGGGTCTTTAAAAGTCCATTGATACAGAAGTTATTACTCAATATAAAGTGATATCAATTTATAATTTATGATTACCCACAACAAAAAGAAATTTACAAGAACATAAAATTACTAGTGACAATAATTATAGTATATATACAATTCTTAAACAGAACATGATTAACTATGATTTCTATAGTACCAGTATACAGACAAGAGAAACAAACAATGCCATTACACTTCTTTATGTAAAACATGATTCACAACAACATGAACTTAAAATAATGGTCATTAAATTAAGGACTATACTACTTAGTATTTATATTTTTAATGGAGCATATAATATTATGTAAACCATTTGCTTTTGGTCCGTTGCAGTACTTAACAGCAGTTGTATTCTTTTTGTTTCAAAATAAAAAAAATTAACCCACTCTTAACAATACTATATAACAGTATTGTACCAAGGTATGACACAAGCTAACAATCACTTTAGTATGATCACTAAATGGAAGGGGATATTTAAGTTTATGACACATGTTCTGTAATATATTACAGATAATTTTGATTGAAGCTGCCTTCAGTAAATAAATTATAAATGAGTTTAGACAAAAATAGAAAAATTTACAAAGTTATAATGAGAGTGATAATATATATGTTAATGAGTTATTATATTGAATAAGATACAAATGAAATATACATTAGTTAACAATGTGAGACGAGTTTGATATAGTAATATTAAATACTTGTCAATATAATTATAATAATAAAAAGCTCACTAAACGTACTTGCGGATTTTGAACAGAAATTTCAGCTGAATTTATATACATAAGGATTGAAGGAAAATGGGGAAAGTGTCCTATTCAACACCAGTGAATTTTTTTTTTACTTAATGGTGGAAACAAGATGGCATTACTTCTTTTAATGTTACATAATGGATAGAAATATATAGAATCTGGACAGGGAATAGGGAAAATACTCCAATTTTTTATATGTAATATCAAGGAAGTAATTCCAAATTTTTAATTTTTAACTTTCGCATTTCAAATAAATAAGCACTTTGTTACACAGCAACACCAGTAAAATAGCAGACCTTATACAAATCAGATCTCAGTAGTTATAGTCAAGTCCTTCAAATAAATCAGTAACTCAGTTTAAATAGCCACATAATAGTCTATAGTCATAATATCGACAACTTTTCATGCATAAGCAGGAGCAGTATATTTTTTAGATATAATGAATGGAATTCAAACATATACAAGCTAAATTGGGTTATGTTTTGAATGTGTGACTACAGTAACTCATACAATGACTAGCATGAATTGAGTTAACCCAAGAAAACTATATAAGTTAAAGGTTAAAAATGGCGGCCAAGTATAAACTATCGTTGTCCTAATCCAATGAGATAGCTTAACAATATAAATAATGATGTAGATAATTGAAATCAAGTGAAAATATTTGTTTAATATTGCTCAACTTACAATCAACAACAGGCACTATTGTCACTCTACTTTTGTTTCAACCTCCCCACCCCCACCATTGGGAGGACCACCTGACGCTGACGTTGGAGGTTGAGGGGTCTTTTTATCTTGACCCCAGGGACTATGTTGTAATGCTGGTGAATGTTGAAATTTATCTTGTTCTTCATCATTTCCGTTTGATTCATACTGATTATTTTCTAAACGAGTTATCAACCTTTCATCTTCATCACCAAATTCTCCTCCCATTAATGTTGGTTCTCCTACCATCATTACATCCTACAAATACACAATTTAATATCTACATAGTATATAATCATATCATTTATTTTTACACCAACATCTCTCTGTCGATGCAAAAAGTAAGCACCCATGTGACCACGCTTTATATTTAGAGAAATTGGGAGATCCATCAGGCAATGTTAAGTTTAATTATTACTATACATACCCCTGGAACTGATGTGTTTATATTGAAACCCTGTGGACCTGGTGATCGTTTTTGTTTACCAGCTGGTGCACCATCTCTACTATTAGAATTAGAATTACTTCCTGTTGATTGTTTTCTCTTCCGTCTTTTACTAGGTGGTCGACTAGCTTCTAAAACAAAAATATTCTAACTTGAAGATCAACAAAACATCATTTAAGTCCAAGTAACATTCTTGACTCTTTTGTTATTTCTATCATTATTAATCTATAGAAAAAGATGTTTTCAATTGCCCAAACATTGTATGTAATGGAAGTTTACTACCAAATGTATGAATGAATGAAAATGAGCAACATCATGCAGTGTGTAACACAGGAAAAGATTTCTCATTTTTTCATTTACCAACTGGGCCTTGGTTTGTTGATCCATCTGAAACATTAGGTGTTCTTCCTATGTATAATCTAATAAGTATAATCCGACACATTTCTCTTACCTTTACCTGGTGGAGCAACCATTCTTTGCCATTTCTGGAAGAGCGTTGTTTTGAGACAATCTCTGGGATTTAATCCATAAGCTTTATGTCTGGACATTAACTCCTGCATTGGTTCTAATATCACACATAGCTAAAATAGATACATAATCAGATATTTCAAAATTAAATATTTCGGCCAGAGTTTCTTATTATTAATTTTACCACTTTCACTTTCTAATAAAATATTCTTTGATGTACATCAATTTAAAAATTTACTTGAATTTTATTTCTTGTATTTGTATATTATTTAACATTATTCTGTTTCTACTTGTTAACTTGAAGAAAATTCAATTTTGAACTATTAAGCTAATCATTTTGGAACTGAAAGGTAATTTATTCATCAAGTCATTAATTGCAAACCTTATTATAGTTATCTGAATTATCAAGTCATATCTGAAGATGACTTGTCTTTATTACCTTGAAAGACAATTTCTTTAACATATACACTTACCCTGAGAAAATTGAGCGTATAATTGGTTAAACCTTGTCTAGTAATATTTTTAGACAACTGTTCAACCATGGCAGGATCCTGCTGTAAATCAAAATTGAAAGTATACAATATGAAATTTGAAACAGACACTAGTATTTAAAACAAATGAATAATTAAATGTCAATCTTTTCACTGCATGAAACAACCTATTTCTTGATTTGTTTGAATATTTTCCTGTATTCAATGCATTCAGCAATAATTCAACTGTGCTAAAGTCAAAAATTTAAGCTACTCAACTTTGAACTCCTTTATAGTTTATTAATATATATATGGCACATACCTGGACAGCTATAACACTTCTAGGTATAAGTTCTCGATGTTGACGAATTGAAAAATGCCAAGATCTTATTCTCATCAGATCATCAAAGGTAAATTCTAATATCAGTCTTCCTTCTGTAACAACCTAGAAATAACAAATGATTTTACTCTATTATACAGAGAACTATAATAATACTAATCGAAGCCAAATATTTTGTTTTACTTTATTTGCACTACCAAAGATTTAAAACTCGCAAAAAAGAAAAAGAAATATATAAGCATCAGTTACAAATTGAATTATGGTAGAAAAAGGTATTTATTTGAAATGTGAAGCAATTTTAGAAATGAAATAGTGAATCTGTAACAAGAGCTTGAATTCACAATCTGTAATGATTTTAATACTTACGTTAGTAAACATTGGTTTACCATGTTGAGTGACCATCATTGCCTGATCACAATCTAATGTTATGGTGGTATTGTGAAAAGACTCTTTGGGATGTTTTAAGACATAGTACAGATCTGTTACTCCTCCTTCATAAATACTACGAAAATAGCGTGGTAACAAGGTTCGACCAATGGCTAAAATAAAATACCATATATATTGTTAAACCAATTCAAGGAAATGTAATATCTACATATATCTGTTGGTCCTGTCTTATTTCAGAAGACCAAGAAAATAAACAAAGCATCTGCTAATTATTTAAATATCAAGTTATGAATTACGATAATTTATCTTAATATTTTTAAAATTTATAATTGCATAATTTATAATTGCAAAATTTATAATTGCAAAATTTATAATTGCAAAATTTGTAATTGCAAAATTTATAATTGCAAAATTTGTAATTGCAAAATTTATAATTGCAAAATTTATAATTGCAAAATTTATAATTGCAAAATTTATAATTGCAAAATTTGTAATTGCAAAATTTATAATTGCAAAATTTATAATTGCAAAATTTATAATTGCAAAATTTATAATTGCAAAATTTGTAATTGCAAAATCTATTTTATGAACGGTCTAGAACCCAACTTATAATTGACTCAATATGAGCAATTTAAAAGTGAGTGTACTAAGAGGGCATTTTACAGGTTAGAATAGTGTGTTCTATTGACAAATGATATTGAATTGGAAACAAAATGTGTTTAATTGACATTAAACTTACTATATCTTTTTGGTCCATCTTCTAAACAGAAAGCTAAGGTCAAGGTAGCATCATCTTCAAAAAATTCTGTTGTGAAAGCATCCCACCATAAATTATCACTTTCCTATAATGTAATGTAAAGAAATTTAAATGTTAATCTATATCTAGATTTAGACCACTCCATATCAGTATTTAGATATTAAGATAATTCCTGGATTGTATAATATTCTATGTCATTATTTTGAAGGTTGACAGGTTTCTTCTTTGATAAAGCTGATCCAAAAGAATACGCTCACATGCGGATGGTAAATATTCAAGATTTTGGGGCAAGGGCTATAACTCTGCTTCTAACGGTCGAAAATAGCTCAAATTCGAACTTGATCTTCGTTTTATGAATATGTATACCGAATTTCATTTGATTCATAGAGAGATGTGGGCGTATAAAAAGAGAAAGCTAGTTTGTAATTCTAGTTGAAATTTCCCTTAAGGTCATTGAAATCCTGACATAAACATTTCAAATCTCCCAAATGTTTATTACTTTTCAAGAAAAAGCTATTTACATCAAAATTTTATTGTCAGTTTTCTATGATATTGGGTAGAAAATCATAAACGGTACATTTTGTTCTAAGGAGTTTACATAGTTCTTTTAACATTTACAAATATTCTTGGTATGTTTAATTGAAAATGTCCATGCAGGTATAGTATCTTTTATTCTTATATAGAACCCCTCTCATCTTTTCAAAATTATTTCAAAACTTTCAGATGAAAAGAAATCCCTTTACTTCATGTAGAATTGGGGACATTTATCAATATAATTAGCTAGTTTTACTATTACTAGGGCAGAAAAACAAAAGTCAAATGATAAAAAATTTATAGACTGGTTCATCTAACTATATATATATATATCGTTTATAGCTTGTATAGTATAGAGTTAACTTGCAAGTCCAATTCAGTTATTTGCCAAGCTGGGTCAGATCAACAGCCTGTTAGGAGTCACTTATTTTCAGGGGTATTCTCACAATAACACAACACACACTGTAAAACTACTAATTTTTTACTAAAAAGTAGAACATTCAGTATGGAAGAGGAAAAGTGATATCAGTTTATAAAATTGAAATTTGATATGATCATTTATAATGATGAGATCTTGGTCAAGATTGAATTTGACAATTTTACGATCAACGGAATTTGAGTTATTGCCCTTGACTTAGTAAAAACGCATCAAAATTTGTTGGCGATAGAGGTGACAGTTTATGTCAGAATTTTATTAAATAATGTGTCTTTGTTTAAATCAACAATACCTTGCACAAATTAGACTTTTGGTATGATTAGCCAAATTCGTACATGTCCAAGATCTCATCATTATAAATATTCACACCAAATTTCATTTAAATTGTTTTCACAACCAAATTTTGACAAGGGCAATAACTCAAAAACCGTTCATCGAAAGATCGTCTAATTTGAACTTGAAGATCTCATTAATATATATGATCACATCAAATTTCATTAAAATCAGAAAAAAACTGTTGTCTCTATTGCATTCACAAGCCAATTGTGGACCGACGGACGGACATTCCGGATATTCTTCTAAAACTAAGCCTTTCATGATTTCACAATCACAAAGGTCTTTAGCTATCAGTAATAAAAGTGACTTCATAAATCGCTGTGTCTTGATAGAATTGCCACAATTACAACGTCTGACTGAAAACAGGAATGGTGCAAATTGGTGCTTTCAGAGTCCCAGTTACATACTTTTTAATTATCAGACAGTTGTTTCATATTGTCATTTATCCTGTACAGAATCACACATATAATATCATTAGATATAGCAGAGGCAGAAATTATGTCAATATGACTTAATGAAAATAATGAACAAAATTTACCAGATTCCTGATTTACAGAGAGAGATTAAGAACATTGCAAATTGTCTGTATTGATTTTATTTATTAGATGGTTTTATTTTGAGAGGTTTACAGTATTATCAGCCATAGTTTGGATATTGTGAATCAGTCCCTCTAGTTTTCCTGCAAGTCTAACAGAGAAGAGACTAATCAAGGACCTTGATATTGGGAATGAGGGTGGGTGACCTCTTTCTCATACAATCTAAATAAGCCTCAATTTTTAGACATCATAAAACACACATAACCAGCTTTATTCTTTATGTTGCCCATTGAAAATAATACCAATATGCAGTGATAGGGTCCTGCTGATATTAATTTATACCTGTTACTGGTAATACTAAGATGATGTCTACATAACACTCAATGCTGCAAATAAAATGTGGATCTGAGACTCTTCTTTTCTCCTTTGTAAAATATGACACATAAATTTGAGTTTCAGTTTTCAATTCTTTGAAAAGGAAAGTAAATCTCATGTCTTCTTGATTGCTTCAAACATTTGTGAATGTAAATATAAAATACATACCTCTGTTCTCTGCTGTAATCTTTTATTAAGTTCATAAATTCTGAAGTCTGGTTGGCCCATGTATGGGGTAGGACGCCTATAGAAATTAGAAATAGGAGAATAATAGAATGGGTCGGAATGCATCATGTTGATGATTTTTCTGTATGAAACACACTTAAACAATTAATAAATCCACACTTTAAGTACACATCCTATTGGCACGTGCCTTATATATTACACATTACATTGATACAATACTACACTAGTCATTTATTGACTTCTACAAGTTTTATTTATATAACAATAACATTGTGTCCACTCTATATAGTCCAGTAAAAGTAAACAACAACATCCTTCAATGAATGTGACCACAATATTGGACTATCAGTTCTACAAATGAAGTGAAAGTTTTTCCTGGATTTGAAAACATGTAGAGTTAGTGAATATCACCACTATGAAGAGTATGATACAATAGAGTTATAATAACACAGATTATCTACTAGGTATATTAGAAGCCACGTAGAAACTTGGTCTTATAGCCATGTGTTATAAGCCAAGTCTACCTAGATATAGATGTTTATTATTGGTAACTATAGCCAGTCAACCAGAACTCAGTAAAAAATAGTCCCAAGACAGACCCAGACTAGGCTGAGCTTGGCATGTATAGGCAAGAACCTGATCAACCCCCTAAAGCTTCCTTAACAGATTAATGTCAATGGCCAACTGGTTAATACATGCCCAAAGATATATTTCTCCAAGCATTTCAACATTGAGGTATAAATTAGGTCAAATAAGGTAAAGTTTCAGTCTTATTGAAACCTTAAAGGGGCATTATGCAAAATTTTCATCATCAGAAACATAATTATGCTATTTACATTTAAGTATCTCCTTGATCAAAATGAATTAGTTTAAAATAATTAATCAACACCTTAAACTTGTTTTGGTTTTCAGAATAAATAAGAGACATATTTCTCTACAATTAGGTGTTATTTTGCTTTCTAACACCTCTAATAAAGCGAACTAGGTAAGTTGGTAAATGGCTTTGGCATTAACAACAGGATTTTTTATAGTTTAAACTTTTGCCAGATTCTGGTATATAGTTTTCATAAATATGAGCAAATTCTTTTTTTTGATCTACACTAAAAATATCAAAGTTGATATATTTTATTAGTATTTCAAAAACCTCCTAAATCTAAAAGTTGTAATATATATATGTAACTAGAGCTGTCATCAATTCTTGGTAAAATGGAACACTTTAATCCATTTTCAAAAGAACAAGTTATTTTATCCACATTCAATTCATATATACATAATATTGCATGCTTTCAGATTAATAGCTTCTTCAGAGATGTATATATATACAGTCAAGTAACCTTATTTCGTGCTAAAATATTTTTCGTGCACCTCTCAAAATGAGTAATAATTCACATGTGTGACCTTGAGTGACCTCTGCATTTGCATGTTTTGATAAACATGGGTTATCTCAACTTGCAGAATTCTACTTGTCATTTCAAGGCCACTTCAAATTTATTATTTATTTCTATCATATACAAAATAGTGGATTTTAGTTTTTACTAAATAACACAATTTTTTATCGGCAGAATATCCCAAATTCTAATCAGATTTCTTAATGTTGTCTGCTAGAATATATTCCAGTGAACGAAGTCAAGTGACAAACTAGCGGATCCTTTATCAGCAGAAAAATTCTATGGAACACAATGTGGACCGTATTCTTATGTTTTTTCAATGACTTTTAGCAATAAATTACCCTTACATTTTACTTATCTAATTTTGTCAGACACTATTGTTCTTTAAAAGAATTGTCACTAGTTATAATGAAATATTATTAAAGTTAATTATACCACTGGGTATCTATACAACGTGTTTTTCTAGACTTATTTATGGTCAAATATTGTACACGAAAATAGGTGATGCATTTTGACGCCATTGTCGAGTTGGTTACTCATGAAATGGGCCAAATACGAAACAAACCAATTTTAATTATTTTATAGATTATCTGAGGAAACATCTAAGACATAAACAAAATCTTTCTGTTTTTCAACTTTGATGAAATTTGTTTTTGAATCCATATATCCACAAATATAGGTTACTGTATATATATGCATGTCATGTTTTCTAAAATGATGCATGTCAAAGATATAATTTGTTCATACTATTACTCACATGTTTTTGAAATAAAAAGATAAATCAGTTTAAAGACAAGGTACAAATGATATAATTATTGAACACATACTGTATGACTACACACTCTAAGATTGACAACTTTAATTCATTACTTAATATAAAGATAGCTTGCCAGGCAAGGTAATATACACCCACTGGCAACTGTGATTTTAAATAAAAATATTTAGCAGTACAGTAAAAATTACCAGTATGAAATATTCAGTCAGACACTTTTGAACTTTTTTATGTGATACTGATTAATATTACTAAGTTCTGACAAAATCCAGAAAGAATCGAGCTTCAGGGGTTTACAAGCTAAACATTGAATGCGTTTTCAAGAACGAAGTCATTGATTCTAGTGCTGGGAATCGAGTTTAAAATTATCATCAATTATCGGCAATATATCGAAAGGCATTTCTGATCGATAATCGAAAAAAATCGTAATGTTGATACTCAAATTTTAGATCAAGAAATCGACTCATTCAAGTCATATTTAGGCAGCCTACCACTTACTTCTATGTAATGCTAGTGTTAGAAGCTAGTATGTGTATTGTGTTTATTATCATGTTCTTCACTATGTGAACAATCTTTTTGTTTTTAAGACGTTTGGAAGATTAGTTTTCGTCAATATCGTCATCGGCATGAATGTACCGTTGAATGATAAAAATAATTGACTTGATCACACGCTCTTGACAACCAAGACTAAAATACTATAGCACCGTTATTATACGAATTGTGATTAGCCTTCTATTTATAAACAACAGTGATTATCCTATCAACATTGTCGTTACGTAATTAGACTTGATAAAAAAAGGGAGACAACTACAATAGTGTAAAAAATAAAGGGATAAATAATCGGTACCTGTATTCAGTTAATTATATATACGTATAATAACAAATGTTTGTACTAATTTATTGTGAATTTTTTTTATTAATGATTGTTATGATCATATACAATCAAAGAAATGGAAGAACATACGAGAATAAAGACTTTAGCTTAGTTTATTTTGCGGTACGTGACTGCCGAAAGTGTGTTTTTATTATGGTTCCAGGAGTAATTTAACAGAATTACCAGAGGTTATGTTATTTTTTGCGATAATCGATTTTGAAATGAACCATCGATAATTATTCCCAGCACTAATTGACTCATACAAAAAAAATTTCAATATTTTTTCAATAAGGTTCATCCATGGGAGATAATAAACAATTTCACCAAGTTTCTTCAAAATCTGTTGAGAATTGTGCCTTCTAGATTATTAACCGGCTAAAAATATACTTGGGTAAAAACAAACATTCCTTCTAGAATGCTTACAAGATCAAATTGAACGCGTTTTCAAGAACAAGGGAAATACTTTAAACAAAATATTTTACAATTTTTGGGATTTTCAATAGGGTTCATACTTGGGTAAAAACAAACACTCACACCAGGTTTTGTTAAAATCCTCAAAGAAAAAAAGTTCCAATTTTCAAAGGTTCTTCATGGTTGTAACTCATATAGGAAAATCTATTCTTTTCTGAATATTATGAGTAGTGGCAAGTCAAAAAACTTCATGAGAATTCTCTTGACAATTAATTTTCCTTTTAAGTGTTTATGATATATGACGAGTTCTTTATATTCTGGACAGGTTATAAATTTGTGCATAATTTTTGTAAGATTTATTGTTCCAGAAAGGAACATATACAAGGGTCATAATCTTCCTATACATACTCAACTTTAACTTCGTAATATTTTATCTATTTTAAACAGACAATAAAATGGGAATGGGTAATCACAGTATAAAACTTGTAAATGAGCAATCAGCAATGAAAGTGTCATGCTATTCAATGAGAAATCAATCAGTAGTGAGATGACAGTCAATGAGTAAAGAAAGTAAAGCTAGTGAATGAGAAGTCAATTATTAATGAAAGTCTCAAGCTATTGAATGAGATGTGAACGAGTAATGAAAGTGTCAAACGAGTGAATGAGCAGTCAATCAGTTATGAAAGTGTCAAACTAGTAAATTAGCAGTCAACAAGTAATGAAAGTGTCAAACGAGTAATGAAGGTGTCAAGCTAGTAAATTAACAGTCAACCAGTAATGAAAGGGTCAAGCTAGTGAATGAGCAGTCAATCAGTTATGAAAGTGTCAAACTAGAGAATGAGCAGTCAATCAGTTATGAAAGTGTCAAACTAGTGAATGAGCAGTGAACGAGTAATGAAAGTGTCAAACGAGTAATGAAGGTGTCAAGCTAGTAAATTAACATTCAACCAGTAATGAAAGGGTCAAGCTAGTGAATGAGCAGTCAATCAGTTATGAAAGTGTCTAACTAGTGAATGAGCAGTCAATCAGTTATGAAAGTGTCAAACTAGTGAATGAGCAGTGAACGAGTAATGAAAGTGTCAAACTAGTGAATGAGCAGTGAACGAGTAATGAAAGTGTCAAACTAGTGAATGAGCAGTGAACGAGTAATGAAAGTGTCAAACTAGTGAATGAGCAGTCAATGATTAATGAAATAATCAATGAGCAAACAAGGAGTAATGAAAGTATTAAATTATTCATTGAGCAGTCCACGAGTAATGAAAGTATCAAATAAGTTAATTGCCGATTGTTGAAAGTGAATAAACAATCAATTAGTAATAAAGTGTCAAACTAATAAATGAACAGTGAATGAGTAATGGTAGTGTCAGGCCGATGAAAGGCAGTCATTTAGTAATGAAAGAGTCAAACTAGTTTGTGGGTCAACAGGTAATGAAAGTATCAACCTAATAGGTGAACAGTCAATCAATAATGAAGTGTCTCACTAATGAAAGTGCAGTCAATGAGTAATGAAAGTGTCTATCTAGTGAATATGCAATCAATGTAATTAAAGTGTCAAACTGGTGAATGATCAGTCAATGAGTAATTAAATTGTCAAACTAGTGAACTTGCATTCAATAGGTAATATAAGTGCCAAGCTAGTAAATGAGCAGTCAAGGAGTAAGCTTAATGAAAGTGTCAAACTAATGAAAGTGCAGTCAATCAGTTTTCAGTAATGAAAGTGTCTATCTAATGAATGTGCAATCAATATAATGAATATGTCAAACTAGTGAATGTGTCAAACTAGTGAATGTGCAATCAACAGGTAATGAAGGTGTCTAACTAGTGAATGAAAGTGTCAAACTAGTGAAAGAGTGATGAAAAGTGGCAACTGCTGACTGAGATAATAGAATGGTCAACTTTGTGAATGAGCAAATGAAGTTTCAACTAGAATATAGTTATGGAAATTCATATATGAATACACATGTAATGACCAAGTGTCGATGATTAAGTGAAAAATATATAAAAATATGAAACTGAAATAATGTTAAAAAGCAAATGTACAATACAGTCTGTAAAACTAGTG